TGGAGACAATAATTTTTCCTGGTCAGACTTTAGACATCTTCGCAAGCACAGTTCATATGCCCAGCACTGTGAGTCCTGTTCAAGTTAAACTGGTCCTCTGGGCTCCTGGCACTCAGCCGAACACTCCCAAAGTGACTGGGCACTAACTACAGTGAGTTCTCAGGGACTCACAGCCATTTCATGTACTTCATCCCTCAACTAAAACAATCATATGGGCATACTAAGTCTTGCGCCATCACCGAACCAACCAAGAAATTCTTACTAAACTCAAATTCTAAAAATTTGTGAATTCGGGGCTCCTTAGAGAAATTTACCCATAGTCAACGCTAAACCCTTCACTGTTGGTCTTTGGTGAAGTCATTCTTCTCCTTCAGTGGATGAAATCATGTTTTACAAATCCAATTTATTTTGTTTTTCAACAAATGAAATTTGGAAGCTGATATAGAGTTGCATTTCTAGGAAGCTTTTCTGTCACTTCACAAAATGTGAGTTATGCATTCTCCACCAAGGTGTTTATAACTAGACCCAAGATAACTTATTTACAGATATTATATCAGCAACTGTTAGGTGAAGTGTACTTAGTCAACTGACTCCCCCCCACCTCAAAGATTAGGTCTTATCAGAGTGTATCAGCTCAAAAATAACCACAGGTAGTCTGTTGACAGTCACAAAATCCCCTCATTTGCTATCAGCAAATGCTGAAGTGATAAAGTAAGAATTTGAAAACTCTACTTTCTAGATGTGTCCTCTAACAATTTCACATAAACAATGTGGTTTGTTTAGGGGATTCATTTCTGACCTTGGTTTGTTTTGTGCCTTTTTTAAAAATTGCTGAAAACGTATTGAGCGTATAGTGTAAACTCATGGATACTGGCACCGGACAGCCTGAAATGGTTTCTAGCTCTGAGAACCAGGGCAAGTAATTAAGCCTCCATTTCTTCATCTATAAAATGGTACTAAGAATACTTAATAGGATTGTTCTCCGGATTAAACAAGTTAATGAGTGCAAAGCTGTTGGTGAGCAATCAGTAATGTTAACTTTGAATATTACTCTTATTATTCATCATTTTCTCGCTATTTGCAGTACCACCATTCCAGCCACCACACCTATCCCCTGGACTAGGTAGCCACCTCCTGCCTTCCCTGCTTGCACTTTGCTCTCACCTACCCCAACACCTTCTCATCTCCTTCTCAAAGGTGAGTGATCCCTTCAGAGTGGCAAGACCAGTTCAACCCCTGGCCACACACAAACATAAACAGTAAAAGAAAAATTCTTTCCAGCTACCTTTTGCAAAACCCTGAGAGGCCCTGTAAGACCTGGCTCCTGCCTGCCGTCTTCAGCCTGTTTCCCGTCTTTCCCGCGCCCTCTAAGCCCCTGCCCTGTCCGTCAGTCTGTGCACTGCCCATCAGGACTCCCCCCAGTTCTAGCCTTCCTTAGGCCTGGAGAGCTCTGTCCCTGCCCAGTCCGGCACAATCATCCCAGCCCAAAGGCGACCTCTTTAAATACAGCGCATTCGTATATTTTCATAGGGTCCATAGTCCTTCCCTTTCAAAGCGCCACGTTCGTGAACACACGACCTATTTGAAGGATCGTTTCCGAAGGTCTGACTTGCCTGCACAATTTTAAGTTCGCTGCGCGTGCAGCTGCCGGTGTCATTCCTAATGGCGTTCTTCATAACCTAGCTCAGCCTGACCCAGAGGAGGGCAGTAAGTGTTGATGAAGGCAGGCAGGGACGCAGGAAGGGGTAAAATGGAACGGGCTGCACATGCTCAAAAAGCCGGCAGCGCGCCTGGCGCTGATTATTAAAT